TGGGGTTCCCCCATATAATAGATTTGGGGTGTCATGAGGCCATTACATCAGGCCAGGTCACACTATCCATCCTCTGTTAAAATATTTCCCAGATATTTAAATTGTTTCATTTGTTTGATTGTTCAAACCACAGCCAAAGCTTGTTCTTTATTTCTGATCTCAGCTTTTTATTTAATATTTGTAGAATAAAAATCTGAGAGTTGCCATAAAAAAGCTACAAAAATGAATTTAAAGAGAACACTAATCCAAATAGACCAACTGAGTTCCAAAATTTTTTCATGTGTTATTTTTCTGTATGCTGCCTTTTGTTATGGGGTAGAAAAACATTTTTCCCTTAATCCACATTGTACCCTACTTTGCAAAACCTAAGGAATGTTAGTGTGCTACAAATTTATTCTTAACTGGCACATATGATTATTAGTTAGGGTGATACATTCATAATTACAATTGGTTCCCCAAAACTAGAATTACTTATGACTCAACTTAATAGATGTATTCTAGACCTGTATGATTCCTTTATAAGTAACACTCGATCAATTTCCTGATGCTTTTTCATTGGTTCTAATACTTCACTCTCTAAATAATACTTTACTGTTTCCAGTAAATCCTTTTTTGATGTAAATATCATAAATAAAATATTCTTTTATTTTTTTTATCCTGATTAAAGAATTATGAAATGTTACATCATAAAATGTAGGATTTGCATAATTAGAACTCATTAGCTATTATATCACATAACCTCATTTATGCATCTTCTTATTGGCATAAAATCACATGATTTCATTTCTGCATCTTCTTGCTGACTTGCATAATATCATCTGTACAATTTCTTATTAGTTTGATAGCACATGTTCTCATCTGTGCATCTTCTTGCTAGCTTGATATTACATGACCCCCTCTTTGCATCTTCTTGCTGGCTGGATATCACATGACCTCATCTGTGCATCATCTTGCTGGCTTGCTATCACATAACCTCAATTTGTGCATCTTCTTGCTGGCTTGCTACCACATGGACATATCTGTGTCTTCTTGCTGGCTTGATATCACATAATCTCATCTGTAAATCTTCTTGCTGCCTTGATATCACATGACTTCATCTGGGCATCTTCTTGTGGCTTGCTATCACATGACCTTATCTGGCCATCATCTTGCTGGTTTGCTATCACTTGACCTCATCTGTGCATCATCTTGCTGGCTTGATATCACATGACCTCATCTGGGCATCTTCTTGCTGCCTTGATATCTCATGACATCATCTGTGCATCTTCTTGCTTGATATCACATTTTATTTACTGTGAAAACAGGAAGGAAATTCCTTCCTTTTGTTTTTCTTTTTTTTCTTTAAACACACAATGGTAAAAAAATGATGGAAAGTGATTCAGATGCAATTAGACACACTTTTGTGGCTGGACAACATGTGCTAATTCCCACAAATTCAAGGAGAAGTGAATATCCATGCAGACTGTTTGCTTGAGGTTTCGCAAATAATTAGAAAAAGTAATAAAAGACAGCCATTAATATAAAGGAATTTAAGATGTGTGCGTGTGTGAACAAATGAAGGAGTTTAGAACGTGTGCCTTGTAAATAGAATCATTGTCAATAAATAAACAGCTATTAAATTCTACTCTAAACAAGTTTTTATATCATATAAAATTATTATATGAAATCAGGTTTATAACTGATAGCTTTAACTATTAGAACTTTTCAAAGAGTTTCATCAATTTTTATATAATTTTCAAATTTGTCACACAGCAAAATTTTATTTAGAAAAATACTGATCCCTCTGTAGAACCATATTTCTGTTGCTTCAAGTCTTTTCTTCCTCATTGTCTAGTATTCACTGCCATATAGGACAACTGATACTATGTAACAGTTCATTATGCTTTTCTCTGTTACTAATATAATTTTCCTGTTTCTTAATACATTGTTTACCTCTTGGGATGCATATTTCACAATCCCAAAGTGCTTTTGGATTTCAGTGTCACATATTCCATCCTTTGTTAAAACATTTCACAAATATTTAAATTGTTATACTTGTTTCATTTTCACATCTCCAATTTATAATTTGCATGTTGGGCTGTTGCTTTTGCTAAAAAACATGCATTTATCTTCTTGCAATTCATGTTTAGTCCTTTCTTCTTGCTTTCCTTCACTAACTTCTGTATGATTTCTTGTAGTCTCCTTTCTATGTTTGCTGTTCATATTGTATCATCTGTCTGTCTTATGTTAGTAAGATTGGTAATAATGAATTGATAATAATGAATCCTGATAGGACTTTTAATCCTCTCAGAATCACCTCACTGTATAGGTTGAATAAATCCGGTGAGAACACTTTTTATTTTTATATATTTATTGAATTCATTTTCTATCCATATTCAGTTTGTTAGAAACCATTATAGGTTCTGGATTATTCTAATATCCTTTCAAAATATGTCAAGGTTACTGAACAATTCCAACAGTTCTTTGCAATGCACTTTATCAAACACTTTTTGCAAAATGACTAAATGTTTTAAGCTTTTCAAATTGACACTAATATTACTGTTAATTTTTTACTAGCATGTTTTTCTTTTTATTTATCAGAAAGTGGATCAATAAAACCATAATCTGATACATTGCTATTATCTGACATTTTGATCTGAACTTTTCACTGTGTAATATTTAATCTATGTAATTAGTATTCACCACTGAATTAAATGAAATGACAGGAATGGAAATTATATTGAAAAATAAATATTTGTTGTAGAAAATGAATACTTTTTCGACCTTAAACTAAAGACTTATTAACAAACAAGTCTGCATGCATATATATAAAATTGGCATGTGGCTCAGTGATCAGAACATTCACTTTCTGACCATGAGGCTTGGATGATTTGTCACTTCTTGATATTATGAGGGGAGGTGATCTTTGGAAAGTGCCTGAAAACCACAGCTTAGGTTGGCTCAAGCCTTGTGAGTAAAACTGGGTTGACAGAACTGTTTGCTGGCTTTCAATGCTTGTGCTAGCACAAAATCACAAATCACTGTGACCAAGGGCTTGAAACTGCTAGTCATGATAAATTATATACTATTTTGTAGAAACCGTAACTAATACCTGCTAGCATAATTGGTGTATAAACCACAGGTGGGCACTGTGGGTGGGCCTGAGCACTCATCGGCAGCGGGACTGCAGAGATTGGCTAGCCAACATAGCAGACGAGTGTGCTCAGAAAATGAGAGTAACCAGTCATTATACATATATATATATATATATATATATATATATATATATATATATATATATATTTTTACATTATTTTATAGATACAATTGTTTAAGTAAATGCTCTGCTTATAATAAACAATAAATTACATTTACCAACCTGAATGTCTGAGAAATTTCATAGAAAATATGTGTCCTCCAACAGGAATCAAACCTGTGTCCTACATGGAACCATCATTTAATTTGTAGGACACAGGCTCGATTCCTGTTGGAGGAAACATATTTTCTATGAAATTTCTCAGACATTCAGGCCAGTAAATGTAATTAATACTATTTATTATAAACAGAGGATTTACTTAAATACTTGTATCTATAAAAAAATAATGTATAAACAGAAAATATAAAATAATTGTTGGACTTAGTCCATTTCATAATATATATATATATATATATATATATATATATATATATATATATATATATATATATATATATAGATAGATAGATAGATGGATAGGCATTTTTGGTTAAAGATGAATAAAAGTTAATAATTTTAAAAGATTTTTCTATAAATTTTACGGTACATATTTAAATATAAATTGCTCAATAATTCAGATAACACATATCATGGTTTCACAACCACCACATGCTGATTACCCTATCAATCATCTGATAATAGTTTAATTAAATCAACTATCATTAGTAACATAACAAAAAAAACACAAGAAATCAAACAATTCCTCACCAATAACACAAAAATATTATATCACATAAACTGCAAAAAGGATTATGAATGCTAGAAATATTAAACATAAAAGACAAACAATCAAACAAATGTTATCAAATTTAGGAACAGACTAAATATATCCCTTAAAAGTGCAAAAGGGCCAGTGCAAGGGTCTTGTGGGCCCCCACCAAATTATTATACATGGCCCCTCGAATCTATGATACTGGGCCCCCTAATCTACTACATCTCAATTTTATGAAAGTAGTATTCATATACAGTGTAACCCGGATATAAGAGAAACCTGGTTATAAGAGAGATTTTCTCTGGTCCCAAATTAGAGCCTGTGTTAATGTAAACAAAATAGACCAAACCTGGATATAAGAGACTTCTTCTCCGGTCCCGACAACTCTCTTATATCCGGGTTACACTGCAAAATATAAATTTTATTATAACCTAATTATGTACAGTGATAAATCATATGCAATATAGGTGAACAATTCAACTAAAAAAATTGAAAATAAATGCACCGTATCTAAATACAAATTAGAAACATGTCATAATAGATCATTCCATCATAAATAATGTTTTGCAGCAATTTTTAGCATTAACTTAAAATTTTTCTTATTAAAAATTTGAATAATTTAACACATTCAACATTATGGATAAAAAATAGTGAATTTTATATAGTTTTTTTAGACTTAGTATAAGCAAAACAAAAAAAACACAAAATAACCTAGGATAATGTCAAAATCCACAAAATTTTTCATCCTTTAATAGTCATTTGTGCTTTGTTTAATTTATAATGCATATAAATGTAGGTAGAAAAAAGCAAATGTTGATAAGATAGCAAGGATCACAAAGCACTGCCAGGGGCCCCTAATCAGGCTTGAGCCTCCCATCTGAGGGGGTCTGGAGGTAGTATAAACATTTATAACTCTTGATCAATTGATTTTTGCAAAGTAAATATTTTTTCTGCATTTGCTTAATTTCTCTTGCTTTTTCTTTTGCAGTGGGGCATACTCCCAGGCGCCATGTCCCTTTGGGCAGTCCAAAACGAGATATCCAGAGGGCAGACATGCTAAAAATGTATTCCAAATACAGTAAAGTTATAGAGTTTGACAAACTCACTGACCCCACACAAACATGGGATCTTCAAGAACTGATTGGCGAAGGAACCTACGGGGAGGTATATGCCGTAAAAAACAAACAAACAGGTAAGTTTTTTTAATTGTATTATTAATTATCTTTAGTTTGCATTTTTGCTATTTCTACAATGTCATCATCATCATCATCATCATCATCATCATTATTCTCTTTATGATGTGAGCAAACATGGCTCTCCAAAGTTCCCTGACCTTGTAGCTCTAAGCAACATTTCATGTTTTACTATCCCCTTTGTTCTTGTTCCACCAACTATTCACACAAACTTGCTTGTTGCATCCTTCTTTAAGCAATACTTTTTGTGAGTATTTATCAAGCCTTCTTTCTTCATTATATATCCTAGAAAACTCATAGTCCTGGTTATGATGGTAAACTACTTTAAGCAATACTTCCTGTGAGTATTTATCAAGCCTTCTTTCTTCATTATATATCTTAGAAATTTCATAGTCCTGGTTATGATGGTAAACTACTTTAAGCAATACTTCCTGTAAGTATTTATCAAGCCTTCTTTCTTCATTATATATCCTAGAAATTTAAAAGTCCTGGTTATGATGGTAAACTACTTTAAGCAATACTTCCTGTGAGTATTTATCAAGCCTTCTTTCTTCATTATATATCCTAGAAATTTCATAGTCCTGGTTATGATGGTAAACTACTTTAAGCAATACTTCCTGTGAGTATTTATCAAGCCTTCTTTCTTCATTATATATCTTAGAAATTTCATAGTCCTGGTTATGATGGTAAACTACTTTAAGCAATACTTCCTGTAAGTATTTATCAAACCTTCTTTTTCTTCATTATATATCCTAGAAATTTCATAGTCCTGGTTATGATGGTAAACTACTTTAAGCAATACTTCGTGTAAGTATTTATCAAGCCTTCTTTCTTCATTATATATCCTAGAAATTTCATAGTACTGGTTATGATGGTAAACTACTTTAAGCAATACTTCCTGTAAGTATTTATCAAGCCTTCTTTCTTCATTATATATCCTAGAAATTTAATAGTCCTGGTTATGATGGTAAACTACTTTAAGCAATACTTCCTGTGAGTATTTATCAAGCCTTCTTTCTTCATTATATATCTTAGAAATTTCATAGTCCTGGTTATGATGGTAAACTACTTTAAGCAATACTTCCTGTGAGTATTTATCAAGCCTTCTTTCTTCATTATATATCTTAGAAATTTCATAGTCCTGGTTATGATGGTAAACTACTTTAAGCAATACTTCCTGTAAGTATTTATCAAGCCTTCTTTCTTCATTATATATCCTAGAAATTTCATAGTCCTGGTTATGATGGTAAACTACTTTAAGCAATACTTCGTGTAAGTATTTATCAAGCCTTCTTTCTTCATTATATATCCTAGAAATTTCATAGTCCTGGTTATGATGGTAAACTACTTTAAGCAATACTTCCTGTGAGTATTTATCAAGCCTTCTTTCTTCATTATATATCCTAGAAATTTAATAGTCCTGGTTATGATGGTAAACTACTTTAAGCAATACTTCCTGTGAGTATTTATCAAGCCTTCTTTCTTCATTATATATCCTAGAAATTTAATAGTCCTGGTTATGATGGTAAACTACTTTAAGCAATACTTCCTGTGAGTATTTATCAAGCCTTCTTTCTTCATTATATATCTTAGAAATTTCATAGTCCTGATTATGATGGTAAACTACTTTAAGCAATACTTCCTGTAAGTATTTATCAAGCCTTCTTTCTTCATTATATATCCTAGAAATTTCATAGTCCTGGTTATGATGTTAAACTACTTTAAGCAATACTTCCTGTGAGTATTTATCAAGCCTTCTTTCTTCATTATATATCTTAGAAATTTCATAGTCCTGATTATGATGGTAAACTACTTTAAGCAATACTTCCTGTGAGTATTTATCAAGCCTTCTTTCTTCATTATATATCTTAGAAATTTCATAGTCCTGGTTATGATGGTAAACTACTTTAAGCAATACTTCCTGTAAGTATTTATCAAGCCTTCTTTCTTCATTATATATCCTAGAAATTTCATAGTCCTGGTTATGATTGTAAACTAGGAGATTGGAGGTTTTGAGGAGTGTGAGACCACCTTTTAATTGCTGCTGTTCCCAGGTCCATCCTAATCCAGTGTTGTAAGACCTGTTACAGTCCCAGCTATAGGCAAATAGTGACCCCCCACCAAACAGAACAAAACCCTATGAAAGTATAAAAATACATTTTTATACTAAAAAAAGATTTTAAGATATTTTTATGTTTATACATTCTTTTTATAGATACAAATATTTAAGTAAATGCTCTGTTTATAATAAACAGTATTAAACAACATTTACCGGCCTATTATAAACAGAGCATTTACTTAAATATTTGTATCTATAAAAAGAATGTATAAACATAAAAATGCTTTAAAATAATTGTCAGACAGTGTCCATTTCATAAAAAAAGATTACCAACAATGCATATTTGTAGTGAAATTACTACTAATACCTATTTATCACAGAATTACCAACAATACATATGTGGTTGAAGGCATATATTTGCATTCAAAATATTTTGATTTCAGCATTAAACAACCCGTAGAGGTTGATATGCCACTAAGTAAAATCAACCAACCAACCAATCAGAAATTTCAACTTTCTCTTTCTAATTATAAGTATAGACATCCTACCAATTCCCATTTTTTTAAAGACTTCCTCTTTGCTCACATGTTCTGTCCATTGAATTCTCAGTATCCATCAATAGAACTACATCTCTTTTGCCATGATACTATTTGCCTTCATCTGGAAGGAAATTGTCCAGCATTCACTGTTATATACAAGATTAAATATAACATAGCAATTCAGCCCTCTTTTCTTTATTTTTTATGAAATATTCATATCTTAATACTTTGCTTAATTTCTGGAAGGCTATTTTCACTATCCCAATGCACTTTTTATATTATACATTATATAAAATGGTTAAATGTAATAAATTACAAGGAAATTTAATTTAATAACAACTTATTAAAAAGTATGCAGACTTAATTATTTTGAACACTAAAAAGCTGAACGAACTTGCTGGTACATCTATATTACTGGTTCTCAGACTCTCAAGATACATTCTTCCTCTTGTGATCCCATGTTTCATCAATTCCTCTCCTATTTTGAATTATCATCAAGAATTTTTGTCATTATATTCATGACATATGTATCTGAATGAAATTCATTTTCTTGTTGATACCTAGATAAAATTCTTGCCATTAACTTTGAAATTCCTCCTCTTTGAGCTAAGAGCCTTCCTTTTGAGAATAAATGATCTATACAGACATTTGGTGTGTATGTGTGTGCATGTATGTGTGTAAGTATGTCAACTTTTGGAAGGAAACTCCCATCAACACTAAAAAGATCAAATAACAATTTACACTATTTACATAGTTCAGACTATTGTCCTCATCTTCATTGTCACATTTATAATGTTTCAGCCATTATACGCTCCAGCCTTCTTCAGGTATTATATGTTGGAATTTCAGACAATACCACATCTCAAAAATATAGAAAGAAATCAATAACAGTTGATAAGAAGTCAAAATTCCTGACAAACTCTTTTAAGAGAATAATTTTATAAATTTCATCAAACTGTAAGAATGTACAGACATAGTTACCATTACTATTTTGCCTATCTGTATATTGAAAACATTGGAACTAATGACAAGTGTGTCCACATAGTTTTGTGTTTTAAATAGACTACATTGAATCCATTGCTAGGTCAGCTGCTAAGAAAGTCAGTTCACTGTGTTGTGCAAGACAATTTTTCTCTCCATAATCTATCTTACATACCTATATATCTACCATTCATCAATGCTTAGGATATTGCTGCCACATATGGTCCAGTGTAACTGCTATTTGTGTTGAGTTCCTTATAAGATCCAAAGAATAATCAACAATATTATTAGTCCTAATCTGGTAGTGTGGCTTCAGTCAATTTTCCATTGCTGCAAGGTTGCCTCTCTTTGACTTTTCTTATAAATACTCTAGTAATTGTTCAGATGAGCTCTTCACTATGGTACCTAGACATTTTGAATTTAAGTTCAGTACTAGATTGGTGTTGAAATCTCTCCAGTTTACAGTTGAGCTGGCTAGATGTAGCCATAATTTCTATGATGACAGTTTCTTTTCTCACACTTCTTGCTTGTGGAACTCCCTTGTAGCTCTGTGCTTTCCAACCAACTTTAGTCTTCAAAAATTTAAATGTAATGTCAATCACTATCTACTGTCCTCCTGATTACTCTTTTCTCTTTTTGCTCATTATTAATGTTTTTGTTCCTAGTTCTTCCACACCCTGTACCCCCTTGTGTTTTAGTGACTTTACTGCCTTGCATGGGGTGATACTAATTAAAAAAAATTATTTTGCTGCATCATGGGATATAACCTAGTTTATTTTCCAGTTAAAAAATAAACTGAAATTATTATTGGTCAAAAAATTTCTCTACGAAGCAATTGTTAACCTTATTTACACTATTTACATTCAGACTATATGCTTCATCATCATTGTTGCATCTGTGAGCTCTCTAGCTTTCCTCAGGTGTATATTGATCCAGGTAACCTACAGGGATTTCTAATCTGAACCTTTTATTTAGTCTATGGGGCTAGACTGTTCTCATTCCATTGCCTTATTTTTGGTACTACTCCATTATTGCTACCTTGTTTCAACTGAGTCCAAGTACAAACTGCCTGGCCCAAGGATTGACCTACAATTACTGTCACCAAATTCACAAACCACTTTAATCCACTAGTCTATTGTATGGTATTGTTAATCTGATATAAATGTTTGTAGCATTTTGGGGGTAAAATCTTTTATTCATATTAATTTATAGCAGAATCATTCTGCCATCAGATTATTTTTATCTTCTTTTTCTATAACATTTAGGGAACAAATTTGTGTGTGAATACTTTCCTGAAGGCTACAATTTAACCTTTTCAAGTCAAGGTTCAATCATTATCTATCCTCCTTATCCTCATAATCTTCATTTTCTACTGCTTGTTTGGTTGATACAAAAGTTTGCAGCATTTTGGGGCAAAAAT